TTTAATCATTTGGGTTCAAAAATGATACCCAACACGTTTAAAGAAAAAAAAAATCAAAGCACAGCAGGGGTCAGGTGTCATTTGCAGAGAAATGGCAATGGCTGCTGGTTGACATAAAGATTCCTGTCCTGGGAACTTTCACTCTTTTTTCCTGCATAACGGACGAGGAAGTGTGAAGAGCAAGAGCAGTGAGCCTAGAGGATCATTCTCTCCTTTCTTGGTCCCACTGGCCTAAGGGTTAGGTCGTCAAGGGCATGCTGGGGCATGGAAAGGCCCTCAGATCTAAGGCCAGAACACTTGGCTTCATCATAAACTTATTAGGGGGAAATCACTCAGCCTGTATTTTAGAAGTTTTGATTGTTTGGGTTTGGGGTTATTAGGGGGGAAATCACTCTGCCTGCATTTTGGAAGTTTTGTTTGTTTGGGATTGGGGGTTTTGTTTGTTTTTTAGATGGAGACTTGCTATGTTGCCTAGGCTGGTCTTGAACTCAGAGGTTCAAGCAAGCTTCCTGCCTCAACCTCTCACATGCTAAGTCTATAAGCATACATCAACCTATCTGGCTATGTTTGCAGGAGGAGAGATATTTGTTGTTTGGTATTTTCTGACCGAGACTTGCTATACAACCCAAGTTGGCTTCGATCTCACCACCGTATTACCTTAGCCTCCCAGTGCTGGGGTTACAGGTGTGTACCTTGCCGAGCAGCTGGATTGCTGTTGCTGTCTTAATAAACTTTCTATGTGTATTTTTGAGTTTAAGAAAAGGATGGATTGCATTTATAAACTGAATGTTGTGCTTGAAGGCATTGTTCAAATCTGTGCCTTCCTGTGAGCCCAGGGTTCTTCCAATGGGGCTTGCTTCTTGTTTATGAAAATGAACACTGCCAGCATTCCTTCTCCAGGGTGGTGTGAGCTCTGAGGAGTGCCACCCACAGGCCAAAGAGCGTGAACAGGAAGACTGTGTTGGGTCTCCCTGCAGAGGGAAAAAAGAACTCTTAAGTCCTTAAAGCAGAATGTGAAGGGCCTCCTGTGCTTAACCAGCTGCAATGACCCAGAATACAAGCCCGGATTAACATGTGCCTCTAGATTAGGGCTAATCAGGGCAAGCTGAGCAGATGCAGGGACAATCCCAGCCTGGTTACTGTACCTCAGCATTTAATCATCTGTCTTGGAAGGGCAGACACCCGACTCAGTGTGAACTAGCCCCTCCCCCCCCTCCCTTGCCATGGATATAAAGACTGCTAGGTCAGAGACATTGAAGTGACTTAATCTAATCCTGTATCAAGATGTGTGTGTAAGAGAGAGACAGAATGCATTTATCTAAAATGGTAGTAGGAAGTACATGTAGAAAGCAGTGGGGTTAGTCATACAATATCTCCTGTGTAGAGTTTCTCCCTCTGAAAAGCATTTAAGATGTGTAGTCACTGTCACCAGTTATTCACTCAGACAGCTTTCCTTTTGTGGAGCTCATTGCACACACTCAGAACAGCCCAATTTTTTCCTTCCCTGGCTGATGTGGAATACAGAAAGTGGAATTTATAAAAACTTCACATGGATGGGTCTGAGTTGTAGCCTGTTGCGTTTACATTTTACCTTATTCTTCCGAGCTGGGAGCTCCTATTGGAGCTCATTCTCATTACTTTAAAACTCTCCCACCTTAGTCATGAATGTACACAGTCCAACGCAAGACAAACACCCAGTGCTGGGAGTAAGACATCCCTCGACAGAGGCCTGCACAAAGGGTGGGGCCACAAGGACAGACCCAAGCCAGAGAAGGCAAAATCTAAAGCTGACTCAGAAAAAAATCAGTCATTTCAGACACCGGTCACGGTACAGGCAAGCACGGAGGTGCACTATCTGAAGAACTTCAGCTACTTCCTGAGTGGCACAGCCTACAATCCCAACGTGGAGTCACCTGAGACTGAGGCAGGAGGACTGTGGGTCTGAGGCGCTCGGGCTACATCTGGAGACCCTTGTTGATGTGTATAGTGATTGGGAAATAATGGAACAATGAATCTACGTACCATGTTTGAAGATCTCTCTGGTTATAGCAGTGCCAGCCACTATGTTTTTTTGTTTTTTGTTTGTTTGTTTTTTTGGTCGGTCGTGGGGCCTGAACTCTGGGCCTGGGCGCTGTCCCACAGCTCTTCAGCTCAAGGCTGGCACTCTACCACTTGAATGCCACTTCCGGCTTTTTTCTTTTTGCTTACGTGGTGCTGAGGAATCGAACCCAGGGCCTCATGCATGCAAGGCAAGCGCTCTACCACTGAGCCACCTTCCCAGCCCCAGTGGAGGGCTTTTGATGGGAGGGGGGCCTCTAAATTGTAATGGCAGGAGTGGGTTTGAACTGAGGGTTTTTGGCTTACTGGGCAGGGACTTTACCACTGAGCCACACCCACAGCTTGCTGTTACTCGCTTGTTTTTCAGGTTAGGTTTGGTGATTTTGCTGAGGGCCAGCTTGGACTGTGATCCTCTGCCTAGCTGGAATGAGGCAGAGGGCTCCAAAGCTGAACTGCCATCCTGTGATCCTGGGCATTCTCAGCGCTGGCAAGGGCACCTTCTAATCACTGTATTGCAAGGTCTTCAAGTGATTCTTTTTTTTTGGGGGGGGGTCCGGTCATGGGGCCTGAACTCTGGGCCTGGGCACTGTCCCTCAGCTCTTCAGCTCAAGGCTAGCGCTCTACCACTTGAATGCCACTTCCGGCTTTTTTCTTTTTGCTTATGTGGTGCTGAGGAATCGAACCCAGGGCTTCAGGCATGCAAGGCAAGCGCTCTACCACTGGGCCACCTTCCCAGCCCCATTCAAGTGATATTTTAAATTGGTGCTGTCCCCCAAACAAGGACTAAATGGGCTGTTTTAGAAAAGTTTGTAGCCCAGGTATTTTTTTGGGGGGAGGGGTCACATATATCCTTACTGTTGCTAAAACAAACAAAAAGTCTATCATTTTAAGTTGAATGATAGTTTTTCGACAACTTGTTATCTGTGACCACACAGAAAAATATTTGTTGCCAAATATGTTGTTAGTTGTTACATTTCCTTTTTGTTTTGTTTTTGTTTTTGTCTTTGTTGTTTTTTGTTTGTTTTATTTTGTTTTGTTTTGTTGGTCATGGAGCTTGAACTCTGGGCTGGGCGCTGTCCTCAGCTCTTCAGCTCAAGGTGAACACTCTACCATTTGAGCCACAGTGCCACTTCCGGTTTTTCTGAGTGGTTTTTTGGAGATAAAGAGTCTCCCAGACTTTCCTTGCCCGAGCTGGCTTTGAACGGCAATCCTCAGATCTCAGCCTCCTGAGCAGCTAGGATTACAGGTGTGAACCACCGAACCCCAACCTACATTTCCTTCTTTTTTTTTTTTAATTATTGTGAAAATACTGTATAGAGGAGTTACAATTACATGGGCAAGATAATGAGTACATTTCTTATCAAGCATTGTAGCCTCCTCCTTTGTTTCCCCTTCCCATCCCTTCCCATCTCCCACCCCCCCCACCCCCAAACATTTCCTTCTTGTATAACTTATTTTCCCTTCAAGTTAATATTTGGCTTGGGGTGGGATGGCATCTGCTTTTGAACCATAATCACCGCTTATATCCAAGTCTAGAAAATCCTCTGCACTTCAGCTCTTTCCCTCTGCTCCTGTCATTTTCTCCCCCTCCCACACCCCATTTCTCAGGACCTCCAAGATGTAGCGGCATACTGCACCCCCTTCTGAGCTTCCTAAGAGTGGGGTTGCGGCTGGACCCTTCCATACCCATAGATGTGTCTACTCTGCCCCGGTGGGCGTGCCATCCACACAGGCAGTAACAATGGCCAGGCCGAGCTGTAGGCTGAAGGCATCTTTGCCAGGATGCTAGAAGGCATTGCTCCACTTTTAGCTTCTAGGTTTCTGTGGGATCCAACACTGCACTTATTACCAATTCTTTGTGTATAACTTGTTAATTCTAGAACCTCTTAAGATTCTTGATGTCTCTCTACTGTTTGGAAAATTTGCTAATGTGCTTAGTGTTTGGGTCTTTTTCATCTCTTGTGCAAGCAGGTGTCAACTGGGCCTTTTCAGACTGAAAGTCATGTTTCTTTCTTTTTTTTCCAGTTCTGGAAAGTTATTTTTTTTATTTTTTTTTAATTTATTTATTTTTTATTTGTGAACATACTGTACAGAGGGGTTACAATTACATGGGCAGGATAATGCATACATTTCTTACCAAGCATTGCAGCCTCCTCCTTTGGTTTACCCTTCACATCCCTTCCCAGCCTCCCCCCTCCCCCACACAGTTCTGGAAAGTTATTATGTCCAACAATTTCCTGTCTTCTGTTTCTGACTTGTAACCTTAGGAGTATGTTAGGGGAACAGGCCTTCCTCTTCCCTACCAAATGTGGTCTTTTCTTGGGATCTTCCCAGGTCAGTTTCTCAAGACAGTGACTGAATCTCAGCTGTGGAGTCATGAATTGGGGCACTGGGGTTGGGGTAGCTACTAGTCCAGCCAATTAAATAGAATTTTCCCACCAAATCTGTTTTCAGTCTTTTCCTTTCTGCAGGTGCCAGACCTCCCATTCCCTGTCATTCTGATCTCAGAAGGAAGAAAAGGTCAACATGGAGTCTTTCTTCATTCATTCTTTCATTCGTTTTTCCAGTCTGTGTGGCAAGCTTGACTCTGAAAGGAAGGGACAGACGGAGCAGAGACCAGAAGAGTGGAGAGGAAGGGAAAGCTTTTCTTTTTGAGTTGTGAGAAACTGGAGCATATGCAGAGTTGAAATTGGCGGGCAGTGTCCCAGAGCATCAGAGCGTGAGGGTCTAGCCACAGAGGAAGATGGCCGTGGAAGGGCTGGCCGGCCAGCTGGCCCATGGGACGGGGGCACTGACTACTTGATGGGTTTGTGCATCTCCCAGAGGAAACATTGGTGCCAGGCAGTGACACCCGATGCCCTGGAACTGGTTGCTCACAGCCAGCCTCCATCCAGGCACCTGAATAGGAACTTCACCAACAGTCTTGCCTTTTGTCTCTCTAGGGCTGGTCCAGATCCCTGTGAGCATGTACCAGACTGTGGTAACCAGCCTCGCCCAGGGCAACGGCCCAGTGCAGGTGGCCATGGCTCCAGTGACCACCAGGATATCGGACAGCGCAGTCACCATGGACGGCCAGGCTGTGGAGGTGGTGACATTGGAACAGTGACATGCAGCCATAACATGGCGTCGTTTTCTAGTCTACTTCAACATTTTTTACACATTTGCAGAGGTGCAATCAAATGGAATTAAGTCTCTCAACTTTGGAAGAAAAGTTTTGTTAACTTTTTTTTTTTAAAGGATGAAAGGCAGCAGATTTTGGAATTGAATTTTTTAAAGCACCACTCTTGATTTTCTGGGATTGGTGAAGTAAGAAACTGCACTATTTCACTGTCCCAAAAAAGCCAAATTGTGGCAGGACTTCTTTCTGCGGGACGTGTGTGTGTGTGTGTGTGTGTGTGTGTGTGTGTGTTTGTGTGTGTGTGTGTGTGTGTGAGTATATATGTATATGTGTACATATGGACATACACATTTACATATATAAAGTATATATATACATATATATATATATATATATTGAAACCCACATGAAATAACCTGTATGAATCAAGGTGAGCTGTGGAAAGAATAATTCACCCAGTTTAGTGGGTGATAGGGTACGTGGGCAGACACAGCCACCTGGTTTTTGTTCATACCAGGGTCATGCGTTGAGCTACTGACAAACTCAGGCAGAGGTGACCATGCCCTTCACCAAAGCTGCCTCCCAGTGGCCGCCCAGAACTCCCTGCTGGACTCACCTGAGGAAGGAGGTTCCGGGACGAGGCGGGGGTCCAGAAAGCGCTCGCAGGCCCGTGTGGTCTGCAGCTAAGACACTCCTCCTCAGGCTGGTCCAGGTGCTGAACTTGCCATGGGCAGGCGAATGTCCTGAAGGGGTCCCAGGCTGGGGCAAGAAGGTGTCCTCAGCCTCCCGTCTCCTCTTTCAGGAAATCCTTCTTGATCTCATGACTATTGAAGAGTTGCTTTGGCTTTAAGGTCAATCCTGAATTGGTCATGTATATGTATATGAACTGGAGCAGAAGTATTAAGGGTCTGAAGAGTGCGTGTTGAGCGTGCTTGTGGATGTGGGGGAGAGGGGAGGGGAAGAGGTGGGAGGAGCAGAAGGGAAAGGAAGGAGAGAAAGAAAAATTAGAGAGCAGGATGCACCAAGGGGAACCATTTTCTCCAACTGTATGAAGCTATAACTTGACAGAGGAAATTGTGATGAACGGGGACCCCTGGCTGGGGAAGCAGCGGCATCCTGATTCAGCCCCAGCTTCAGGCCTCTGTAAGCTGTGTCCCCTGCATTCTTCCGAACTGTTAAATCCTCTGCTTTCCTGGTTGCAAGCCCTGAGCCTCCAGTGGCTAAATTCATCTGACTTTTTGACAGGCCAAATCTCTGCTCCTTCAGTTACAGGGAGTTAACAGTTCCTCCTCCTAAGTCCCCACATGTGTGTGACCGTGTATTTAATGTGGTTGGTTTTATTTTTTTTTTAATGCGACATTAAAAGAGTCTTCATGTCTTGCTCAGCCTTTGAGAAAAGTTGCAGATTCTTGTATTTGCTTGTTTTATATAAAACTACCCAATGTTCTTTGTATGTTCTTTCTGTACGTAATGGGAGGGAGGGTAGGGAAATTTACATATAAACAGTCCTAGTTCTATAATTTGTTATTTTTTTAATTATTATTTTTTATTGTCATTGTGAAGCTGTCCAGGGGCTTTAAAGTCCATGTTCCTTTGTGATGAAATAACTTCCCAATAGTTTGAGAAATGGCCAAGAAGAAAAGGAAAAAAAAAAAAAAGCAAAGTCAAACCCCAGTAGCAGAGCATGGATTCTGTGTTGTTTTCCATTCTGTCAATACTGCCTCATTCAATAAATAGTTTAAAATGTGGCAACAGGAAGTGAAGTGTTCCTCTCTGTAGGAGCCCTTGGCCTCTTGGACAAGAGCTCTCTTTTGGGATGTCTTCTGTGCTTTTCGAAAGATGCTTACACTCAAAGGTCAGCAGTCTTTGAACTGTTCTTGCTGGTGCTGTAGAACTCTGCAAGGAGGAAGGAGGCAGCAGAAGACAGATCAGAGCTGCTGGAAGCCCCAGTACCAGACCAGCTTCATCCCATGTACTAAATCCTAGGGAATGAGGGTGTGAGAGAAAAGTCTGCTTTGACGAGTCCTAAAGATGCTTGAAAGGCTGTTCTAGTTTTGGTACTGGGCATTGTCCCTGAGCTTTTTTGTGCAAGGCTACCACTTGAACATAGCTCCACTACCTGGTGTTCTTAGGATTTAATTATATCCACATTTAAAAATCCAGGCCAGTGATGTTGCTTCTGTGTTGGGAGGGTCTCCCACCCTGAGTACTCTTTAGTACTGAAGTGTCAAGAAACTGCAAGCTAGCTGGGCACTGATGTCTCACGTCAGTTATCCTAGCTACTCCGGAGTCTGAGTTCTGAGCATCGCAATTGAAAGCCAGCCCAGGCAGCAAAGTCCGTTAGATTCATATCTCCACTTAACCACCAGAAAACCAGAAATGGTGCGGTGGCTCAAAGTGGTAGAGCACTGGCCTGAGCTGAAGAGCTTGGATAGCACTCAGGTCCAGAGTTGTCCCACGATCGACAAAAAAAAAAAAAAAAGAAACTCCATGCTATGAATTCTTTCTTGCCTCAGTTTCTAGTCTTTTTGTTTTTTTATTTTTTGGGTTTTTTTTTTTTTTGCTGCCAGTCCTGGGGCTTGAACTCAGGCGCTGGACACTGTCCCTGAGCTTCTTTTGCTCAAGGCTAGCACTCTACCACTTGAGCCATAACACCACTTCCGGCTTTATCTGTTTATGTGTTACTGAAGGATCAAACCCAGGGCTTCATGTATGTTGGTCAAGCACTCTACCACTAAGCCACATTCCCAGCCCTTGGTTTCTAGTCTTAATCACTGCTGTCTTTCCAGTTGTGGCTCTGCTACACCCCCAGCTCAAACTCCTTCCAAATCTATCTTTATAATCTCCTTGCCTGTGTGTGCTGGGACCCCGTTCCCCACACCATTTCTTTTTGTTGTTGGATGGCTTGGTTGGTTTCTTAGCGATAATTGAATGAGAGGGGTCAAGAAGTCTTTACTTTTTTACTTTTTCTTTTCTTTGTGCCAGTAAGTACTGGCGATTAACCCAGGGCCTGTTGTCTAGCTTTTTCACTCAAGTTTGGTATTCTACCACTTTAGTCACACCTCTACTTAGCATTCTCTCTTTCTCTCCCTCTCCTTCTCTCTTTCTCTCTCAATTGGAGATAAGGGTCTCTCCCGCCCTGGCTGATCTTGAACCTTGATCCTCAGATCTCAGCCTCCTGAGTAGCGGGATTGTAGCTGTGAGCCACCGGCACTGCGCAAGAAGTTTTGTCTTTATGTCTTTACTGCTTGACAGTGGTTCAAGCCAAGGGGCTGGCACTAGTGGCTCATGCCTGTAATCCTAGCTACTCAGGAGGCTAAAATCTGAGGATTGCGGTTCAGAGCCAGTGTGGGCAGAAAAGTCCCTCTGAGACTTTTTTTTTTTTAATTGTGAAAATACTGTACAGAGGGGTTACAATTACATGGGCAAGATCATGAGTATATTTCTTATCAAGCATTGTAGCCTCCTCCTTTGTTTCCCCTTCCCATCCTCCCCCCCACCCCTCCCCCCAGACTCTTATCTCCAATTAACTATATACTCAAAAAAAACCAACCAACCCAGAAGTGGCACTGTGGCTCAAAGTTGTAGAGAGCTAGCCTTGAGCAAAAAGAGCTCAGAGACAGCACCCAGGCCCTGAGTTCAAGCCCCATGACTGACAAAAACAAAAAGGGCTTTTGTGCAAGGACTCCCTTGCACAAAAGACACACACTACCACCACCATGCATTTTCACCAGAGAGGGTGAGCCAGAGAAAGGAGTGGCTCAGTCACTGAGGGAATGGAGGCTGATCTTGAGACCCTGGTCAGCGTGATTCTCAGCAGGTGAGAGCTGCTGCTCCCCACCCCTGGCTGATTACCTGGGGAGATCCTGCCTTCACCAAAGACTTATGGAGACAACTAGTTTTGCTAGAACCAATAGAGGCCTTCCATGATTGATTATTGATGTGTGGATGGGAGGTGCTAAATCAGCTGCCCTAGTGACCAGGTAAGCCCCAACCTGTGAGTGAGGCAGAAACAGCTCCCGTGGGGAAGGAGAGGCAGAATGGGAGGATCTCTGGAAAGAGCAGGTCATCACCTCACTAAAGATGGGCCCCGCTTGGCGCTGGAAAGGTGGCTCAGTGGTAGAGCGCTTGCCTTGCATGCATGAGGTCCTGGGTTCAATTCCTCAGCACCACATAAGCAGAAAAAGCCAGAAGTGGCACTGTGGCTCAAGTGGTAGAGCGCTAGCCTTGAGCTGAGGAGCTGAGGGACAGCGCCCAGGCCGAGTTCAGGCCCCACAACCGACCAAAAAAAGAAAAGAATAAAAGATGGGCCCTGCTGTCCTAGCTTCAGAATTTTCTAGATTATCTGGGATCCAGATTTTTAAAAATAAGATCTCCTGATCTCATTAATAAATGAAAAAATTCTTTACATACTCTGCAGGCAAAGAAAAACTGGGATAGAGTTCAGATCTGGCCTGAGAGTCTGTTTTGTTTAGCATCACAAATACCTAATGTCAGGCTGGGAAGGTGGCTCAGTGGTAGAGTGCTTGCCTTGCATGCATGAGGCCCTGGGTTCGATTCCTTAGCACCACATAAGCAAAAAGAAAAAAGCCGGAAGTGGTGCTGTGGCTCAAGTGGTAGAGCGCTAGCCTTGAGCTGAAGAGCTGAGGGACAGCGCCCAGGCTAATGGGAGCCAAAATAGGAAGAGGAGTCCCTCACTGGAAGTGCTCTTTGACTTTTCTGCCCAGGCTGGCTTCAGACTATGATCCTCAGATCTCCTTTTTTAGCTAGGATTACAGGCGTGAGCCACCGATGCCTGGCTTAGATTTGTTATTGTTGTTGTTGCCAGTCCTGGGGCTTGAATCCAGGGCCCAGGCACTATCCCAGAGATTCTTTTTTTTTTTTTGGGGGGGGGGGTCCAGTCGTGGGGCCTGAACTCTGGGCCTGGGCGTTGTCCCTTGGCTCTTCAGCTCAAGGCTAGTACTCTACCACTTGAGCTATAGCGACACTTCCGGCTTTTTTCTTTTTGCTTATGTGGTGCTGAGGAATCGAACCCAGGGCCTCATGCATGCAAGGCAAGCACTCTACCACTGAGCCACCTTCCCAGCTCCCCCTAGAGATTCTTTTTCTCAAGGCTAGAACTCTACCACTTGAGCCACAGTGCTACTTCTGCCTGCCTTTTTCTTTTTTCTTTTTTTTTTTGGTTGGTTGTGGAGCTTGAACTGTGGGTCTGGGCACTGTTCCTCAGCTCTTCAGCTCAAGGCTAGAGCTCTACCACTTGAACCACAGTGCCACTTCAAGTTTTCTAGTGGTTTATTGGAGATAAGAGTTTCAGGGACTTTTTTTTCTTTTTGCTTATGTGGTGCTGAGGAATCGAACCCAGGGCCTCATGCATGCAAGGCAAGCACTCTACCACTGAGCCACCTTCCCAGCTCCCCCTAGAGATTCTTTTTCTCAAGGCTAGAACTCTACCACTTGAGCCACAGTGCTACTTCTGCCTGCCTTTTTCTTTTTTCTTTTTTTTTTTGGTTGGTTGTGGAGCTTGAACTGTGGGTCTGGGCACTGTTCCTCAGCTCTTCAGCTCAAGGCTAGAGCTCTACCACTTGAACCACAGTGCCACTTCAAGTTTTCTAGTGGTTTATTGGAGATAAGAGTTTCAGGGACTTTCCTGCCCAGTCTGGCTTTGGACCACAATCCTTAGATCTCAGCCTCCTGATTAGCTAGGATTACAGTGCCCGGCTCTGCTTTTTTCTGTTTATGTGGTACTGAGCTGAACCCAGGGCTTCACACATGCTAAGCAAGCACTCTATACCACTAAGCCACATTCCTAGCCCCTAGATTTTTAAGAAAATTATTATATCCGAGCGCTGGTGGCACATTCCTATATTCCTAGCTACTAAGGAGGCTGAGATCTTGAAGATCACCATTCAAAGCCAGCCTGGGCAGGAAAGTACATGAGACTCTTATCTCCAATAAACCACCAGAAAAACCAGAAGTGGCGCTGTGACAAGTGGTAGAGCACTAGCCTTGAGCTGAAGAGCTGAGGGACAGCGCCCAGGCCCAGAGTTCATGGTGCCAGAACTCAGGGCCTGGGTGTTGTCCCTGAGCAGTTACACTCAAGGCTAGTGCTTTACAACTTTGAGCCACTGCTCCACTTCTGGTTTTCTGGTGGTTAATTGAAGATATCTCATTTTTCTGCCCTGACTGGCTTCAAACCATGATCCTCAGATCTCAAGCATCTGAGTAGCCAGGATTACAGGTATGAGGCACCAGGTTTTTTTTTTTTATTTTGTAGGTCTTGGCACTTGAACTCAGGGCCAGAGCGCTGTTTCAGTTCTTGCTTAGGACTAGTGCTCTACCACTTTGAGCCACAGCTCCACTTCTGATTTTTAGGCTAATAGGAGATAAGAGACTCATGTCTTTTTCTGCCTGGGCTGGCTTTGAACCATGATCCTGAGATCTCAGCCTCCTGAATAGCTTACAAGTGTAAGCCACCAGCGCCCTGCTAGGATTTTAGTTTTTAAAGTAAACTCTAGGTATGTCTTAAGATCAACCTAGGGCAGCCCCTTCCATGGCCAGCCTGTTGTCAGTTCTAGAAGTGGACCACTGTCATACCTGGAGCAGACTCCCAGATGAGTGAAGTTTTACAGTGGTTCCTTCCTTAATCAAGAAAATACTG